AACAACCAACCCAATATAATCTTTGTTTCAATTTCTCCAAGTTTTAGTGATACCCATATGTCTCCCTTATGGACCGTTGGGCAGCTCTTTGAGAACTTCGATAATTCTTACTTTCGGAACAATTATCAAAGCCCGGAAATGTTTGTATTCCAAATTACAGGGATGGCGGGACATTGCATCAGCATTTCCATTCTGTAGAATATCGCAAGGGTAGTAGCGATGTTCTACAGAGAAGTCGGAAATTTGGAGTCTCTTAATCTACCGTGCCAACTGTCCTTTTGGGTTCCTGAATTGCAGAAGCCATTTTAATGGTGCATGATTTTCCTCACCCGAAATCGGTGGTCATAAAGGTACTTATGAAAATGTTTGAAGGACTTTACCAACGCCAGTAATTCCCTCCGAGTTACACAATAATTTTTCTCTGGCTTGCTTTTTGTCTGGCTGTAATAAGCAACCACTTTCTCATAGCCGTCAATGACTCGCGATAGAACGGCTCCTACTGCAAACCCACTAGCAGCCGTATCCAAAATGATTGGTGATCCTGGGACCGGGTATGCTAACAATAGTGCAGTACTTAACCGTTTCTTCAGAGTTTGGAAAGCTACTTCCTATTTTTTATTCCATTTAAATACTCTGTTCTTTTTCTTGAGTTTTTGGAGGCTACTATCTACGCTGGCAAAATTTAGAGCGAATCGTCGATAATAAGTACAAAGTACAAGGAAACTACGAAATTCATGTAAATTTTTAGGAGTGGGCCATTTTTTTACTGTCTTTATCTTTTCTTTAGCTGTCCAACTAAACAACACTCCTTTGAGCTCAGCCAGCGCTAGCTATCCGTTGGAAAACCCCTTCCAAGTTCTTAAGGTGTTCATCAAAGCTTTTACCCAACACGATGATATCGTTGAGGTATAACAAACAGGTCTTCCAGTGTAATGCAGGAGCATTATACTAGGTCAAGTAAAAAGTTCGTTCGGTTTTTATCTAAGAGATGCCGTTATTGTTCATAGTACTAGTGTTACGTGTCGCATCATGTCATTTGTTCATTACTTGTATATAAGAGCTGTCAGACTGTGCAGCACGGACAGTTTTAATTAGAGTGTTGTCGTGTTAAGAACAATTGAGACATAAGCGAGAAGTTAGAGGTGTTGGAGTTAGAACTAAAGATAAGTGTATATCCATATAATTGAGAATTTTATTTAAAAATCCAGTGTGGAATGTGTTACTTCCGTCTTGCGGGGCAAATGCTAAAGAAAAAAGTAACCGACGCAACAGTTTTTTGTAACCTATAGGTAATCATAACAATAATTAATTAAACATCCAGCCAAAGAAATAGCCAATGCAAGGGAAACTTTTACCAAAGTATAACAGATAGTTTTCTAAAATGGTTGGACCGTTAGGGCCATAAGATATATTATATGTAGTATTTGCAGGATTTAAAATATTGAGAGAGAGCGAGTGAGATAATAACACATATGTGTAGTAAAAGCGAAGAGTTACTTTTTTCTCGAGACTAGAACAAAACTACCCTATCGGATAACAAATGCAGTATTTTGGAGAACAATATGTAGGTTAGCTAACTTAACAGTCTTTTAAAGCCGCATCTCCACAGGCAATGTATATTGCTAACCATCTGTCAAATACATTGCCATTGAGGTTGACAATGACCATTTGTGCGGATTTGTATCATGAAATAATAATTTTCGAAACAGCCTCGGGTAGGTATGTTCGAGCTGATATAGCGCATGTATGAGGATGACAAAAACTTATGTGAGTATGAAAAAAGTACAAATGTATTTTTCGAAAAATTAGATTTCGTATTTTAAGACTTAAATAATTGTTGTATAAAATGTATACCAATTCAATAATTATATATGGGCATTGCTATTTACATATGCTAACAATTTTCATTAAATATTTACCATACATATGCGTACATACGTATGTATGTATGTATTTAGTTACTACTTACCATAATTTGTTAAATTTATGTTTTGAATATTACTTTGCTAAATTGCAGTTTACGCAACAAAACATAAAACCATTGTATAAATTTAGGCTTATACAATGCATAAAACACAAGGCATAGGCATATAATCTTTGCTGCCATCATACGACCGAAAATCATTATGCATGTCATGTTGTCTCTTTGACGGCTTTTACATTGGGACTCTTTTGACTTTCTTTTTTTTTAAATTCTCTTTTGGTGTCGTCCTGTGCATTCACACGGGCAAAAAGAGTCCAGCAACTCGAGTTTAGTTTTTCTGCATTCCTTTGCACAAAATTTTCGTAAATATTTGTACGGTTCGACTGCGCAACACTTAGAGCGTGCGGCATTTCATTTGTATGTTGAGATGTTGGTCACACATTTTGCTTGCAATGAATTACCATGAATATGGTAGAACAATATGCATAATACCTACCCGCTTAATAGTTTCAAAGAAATACTTAAGACAGGAATTCCCTAATCCACCAGAATGTATTGAATATCCGCTACTAATATTTTCAAGGCCAAATTTTTAACAGGAATTTCCTAATCTTTAAGTATTAAAAATTCATAATTTCTTAACTGCATAATCTATATCTTAATTTTCTCCTTATTTACAATTTTTCAAAATATTTCTATTATTCTATGCATACATATTTGCATATTACGTACAAAAAATAGATAACAGAATTCAAATTTGTGAACGAATTCATTTGAAACCGAGCGCTTTTGCAACCATTCAAAGAATTTGAAAGTGAAAAGGAATGCTGAAAAGGGTAGCAGCGAGTTATTACGAACAAGAACACAAAGCGTGCCACCCGAACACGAGTGGCACGGTCCCTTCGGCTTTCCTTGTCGTTCCCTCACCCACAATAACCTGGTTTGGGTTACAAAAGAGTCTGTGTGTAAAAGCGATCTTTAAATGTGTTTGTGTGGAAATCAAAACAGCTCTGTCAAACCACCAAAATGACAATTTATTGCCAGCAATGGATAATTTACCATTAGCGTCCTTTACACGGTCATTTTTGTATGAAAACATGGTATGATGCAAAAAAAACTGGTTTTCGTTTAAACGGTCGAACATGCAATCATTCCTTATTTCTCTGTTATTTGTGAACGAAGCAACATGGCACGTGCATTGGTTGCAGCACTTGTAATTGATATTTTAGAAGAACACGAAGTAGAGCAAAAAAAGCAAAAAAGACAGAGAAAAACTTGGGTAAAGGAATGGCGATTAAGAAGACCAGTTTTTTCACATATAAGTTTGTTAAAGGAACTTGAACAGTCCAGCCTGGCGGACTACAAAAATTTTCTCCGAATGGATCCTTCTGTATATAGGGAACTTTTGGAAAAAGTTGTATAGAAAAACAAAATACTATTATGCGAGACGCAATTTCGCCTGATGAACGTCTCTCTGTAACATTGAGGTATTTGGCAACTGGAGAGAACTACGAAAGTTTGAAATTCCAGGCGTATATTTCAACTGCAAGTTTAAGCAGCATAATTATTGAGACATGTGAAGCGTTGATTAAAGTTCTTAAAGATTTTATTTCAGTAAGTATAAATATTACATAAAACTGGAAAATAAAACTAAAATAAATAATTTCTTCATATCAATAAAAATAACAAAAATTCTTGCTCTTCCAAGAATGCTAGGCCATCAAAGTACCGCAAAGATGTTACATATACTTCATCAATTCCTGCTTCAGACTTCTCACTTCGCTTTTTTTTTTTTAGTTCACGTCGTTAACATCAACCAAGTGAGTTTATTTTATACTTTAAACTTTCCAAATTTGCCTTTGGATCTGTCTCCTTATATTTTTTTAGAAGTGCTTCATAAGCAGCATTCTTCTTAATTTTGTTTATATACTCCTCGCTTTTCACTTTCCATACTTCTGGATGGCTTCGATAAATTTCAAAGAAGTCCTTCCACAGTTCTTCGTTTATCCGTGATGCCATTACGCTTCTATGTTTGCTTACGACTGAAAAAATATACTGTGTGCATGATGAAAGCGCTTACACCATAAAACTTGTTCATAACAACATCTTGTTTTTAAAAATTTTAAAACCCATCGCACATTTATGACGAACACGAATTTATTATGTTTACATGCTCTTTCTTCTCACCACGCCGCACATGCTTGCAAACGTAAATGACCGTGTAATACTATGTTCGCACCGAATTGAAATCCTCTTGAAAACACAATTTGCGAATCGTGGAACCAAAGTAGTTCTGACCGACATTGTGTGTTTTCGATGAGTTTTCACAGTTCACACATCTATTTATTTACATTTGTTATGTAACCTACAAGAACAGTGACGGTCATCTGATGGGTAATATGACAGTCATAGCTGAAAAAATGTTGTCAGCGCGCAGAAAAAAGTTTTTATCATTTTCCTTGTTTTCTTTTTGTTTTGTTTTTTCTGAGTCTTTGCTGACCATAAATCCGTCATAGCTTAAAATTGTCAGTTATGACTGAAACGCTATCAGAAGTGAAAAATTCTTTTGCGCAGTAGATAATATAATTTTTATTTCTTTAATAAATTTCAAACTTTTAATCAAAATTAGTTATAATTATATACTTAAATATAAAAAGGAATGCTACAAAAAATATAATAAAATATGAAAATATATAAATAAATTTTCACTTGATGCCATCTCCTCCTCTCAATAGCTCTGCGTACGCCTTCTCCAATCTGTGGATAGTTCTGAATTTAAAAATGCAAATGTAAATTAACAGTACTGACATATCAAATGTGAGTGTATTGGTGAACCCATCAGCAGTTTCTTGTTGGGTACGTTTAGGCCAATTATGGAATGTAAACAAATTGTCAACTGATATTTAGGGCTGGCAAAATATGTCTTCTAATAATATCGATTAAACTAGAGCAGGCACCGATTATAATGAGTGGAATGTAAGTTTTCAAGGGGTTTTCAGCGAAAACTGTGTTTTCGTTTGACAGATTTTGTATGGATGAAAACACAAGTTTGGCGTCAAAACCTCTTATGTCTATGAAAACTCGAATTTTGTGTCGGTGCGAACATATTATAAGCTTCTAAACATTAGCAATGTGCAGTATCCATTGGCAATATTGCTAGCAATACAGATTTTAAGCAATGTTAAATTGCCTGTCGAGATATTTCGTAATCATTTAGACCACTATTATAAATAAAAAGAAGTATAATGTACGGGCAATGGTCACCTTTATATTCGAGAAGTGAATGGAAATTCCTTTCTATTTGTTTATTTATTTATGCTCTTAATTTCACAGCGTCCATTTTGTTTTCGAGGAAACTCTCACAGGAGAGGATCGTATCCAGCCATATCAAGAAAACAGATTATTATTACCGATTACGCTATCCGGGTAGTACGATCGGTGTACCAGATATTAAGACTGAATTAGAAATAAAGGATACTCGGTTGAGTTGTAAGATGGCAGGACAGGTACTTGCGGCATGGTCTAGATTGATAAAAGTAAGTTATGGAAAACCGGGAAAGGAATTCGACGATCTCCGATATTCATCCATACCATCAGATCGCGGCGCAAAAGAAATTGTGGCTGTTACATTTCTTCAGTATTTTTTTTTCACAAGTAAATGATCAACTCGCTAATCTGGTAATTACAGCTAAGTGATCTAGATTCTGCAGAATTTTACCGCCACAACAACGACAAACACTAAGTGGCTTGAAAAATATGTGCAAAGTGCTTTATATATAATTGTAAATATAAGTATACATAAATTGTTGAAAAAATTCACTTTCCGCTCACGGATTTGTAATCTTCGCGTAAAAATAAGACGATTTAAAAAAAAAAACAAGAAAAAACGGTAACATCGGCTGCGCCGAAGTTATAATACCCTTCACAGGTGCATTTCTTTTAGTAACTACTATATGTATTACTACATTTGAAAACGTAACCGGCCAACGGTATGCATCCAACGGAAAACATTTTCTTTCTAACCAGATTGTTTAATATAAAAAATCTTCTATTCGAATTAATGCTAGTATTCATACTAAATTAATGGAAAACAAAAACAAATTATTATATTTATAGAAAATATATAACATATAATAATATTTATTATTCTATAATACTTTTTTTATATAATATGTAAGTTACAATAATGGCATCTATGAGTTACACTTTATATTATAATACAAACTTATATTTAATAACATTGAATCTAACATATATCTATATATAGGTATATAATATATCTATTTTCTAAAGCTTCTCGGCGGTTGATAATGACGTTGATAACATTTCCCTCGTTGCTGCTTTTGCTACACTTGAGGTTGATTCCTTTTGGCTGTTCCATGTCGTGCATTTTAATGTTAGCTTCCCTCTTGCTTACAAGCCATTCTGACGAATTTTTTATTAGAAACTCTTTGTCAGAGAACCAAATTGTCTCTACAAGATTTTGAGCGCTGCACCCACGTGAAACAATGTCTGCAGGATTATGCGTATTTCCAATTATTGCCATATGGAATTTCTTGAATTTTAGAGACTCGATTGGCAACAAAGCAATTTAAGGTGGCCACTCATGCGGGTTGAACCACTTCAGCACTCTTTCTGAGTTAGTAAAAAAATAAATGTTGGTGCTGAATGTTAATAACTTCTCCTTAGGTTTTTGTCAAGTCCTACTCAGTAATAGTGCTGCACATAGCTCCAAACGAGCTTGTTTTGTAGGTGTGATTTATCTTAGAACGTACATAAAGACAACACCCATACGCGCGTGTTGATGCGTCAACGAAACCATGAAATTCACAATCAGAATTGGATGTTGTTTGTACATAGTGGGGAACTTCGATTTTATTAATGAAGTTTAAATCGGCCTTAGTCTGCAACCAAATGTTATGTAGATCGGGTGGTAGTGTTTCATCCCAATCTAATCGGCGAATCCAAATTTCTTGCATTAATATTTTGCCACGTATGATCACGGGGCTCAACAAACCGAGGATATCAAATATTTTGGAGATAATGGATAAGACAGATCGCTCAGTGACTGACTGCATATTTGGTAACTCATAGCGATAACAAAGGGTGTCAGCTAAAGGTTTTCACGATGTACCTAGAGCTTTGGTAATGTTTTCTGCAGTTGTTTTAATTATGACTTCCTTATAAGATGCGTCAGATAATTGTGTAGAAGTCGAGTGCCATTTAGTAAGAGAAATACCATGAGAACGAAGAACTTCTATAATTTCAATTTTTAATTTTTGTAAATTGTCTATGCTATCTGCACCAGTTAACAAATCGTCAACAAAAAAGCTTTCACGAATAGCAGACGATGCAAGGGGAAAGGCATCTTTATTGACGTCTGCAATATGAAATAAACTGCGAATCGCGAGGAATGGTGCAGAAGCCAAACCATAAGTTACAGTTTTGAGTTGAAACAACTGCAATGGCTCATAGGGTTCGTTTCTCCATAAAATTAGTTGATATCGTTGATATTGTTCGTCAATCAAAAATTGCCGATACATTTGTGGACGGAGTATACAATGATGTGGAATTATATAGTGTGAACTATTTAAATCAAAGTTTTTTCTAGCAACCATGTACCCAAGTTCAATTTATTATTTTATAAAATCTGATTGTGCCTTCTTGAAGGCTTTCAAAAAATATTTCTGCATTAAGCAATAAATCTATACGTTGCGGTTTGTAGAAGTAAGGATCCGCAAGCTGAAGGTTTGTAGGAATATCCCAATTAGAAGTGTTGATAAAACTACTTAGTATTTGTGTCGTGATCTGTTTAGTTATAGCAAATTGCGATATACAAGTAAAATCTCCGATTCGAGATTTGATTTTCGCATTTACTGCATACTTTGAATTAGAACGAATATCTGAAATACCTGAGANCTGATGTGAGAAAAACCTTTTAAGCTGCAACCGCTTCGCTGTTTCCTTGGTGATGAAATTTAATTCGGAACATGAATCCAATAATGCACGAGCAGGCTGCATTACTCCATATTTGTTCTGTAAATTAAGGCTGTTGGTATTATCCTCTTTTGCGTGTGCATGCGATGAGTGAAACTGATGGATTGGTTGGTGAATGATGCGATGCATTCGACGAAGTAAACGGCACAGGTGTTTGGTCTTTCTCTTTAGGTTCTAACTTTTGTACAAATGTATAATTTGTAGCTCCAACGGTGGCGAAATGTAGATGAGAGTGGTGCGATTGAGGACATATACGGCAACGAGATTTCGATGGGCATTTAGATACTGTATGTCCTTTGTGTAGGCAATTGATTCAAGCACTTGTTTGCTTCACCCAATCAGAACGCGTTTTAGCTGATAACTGTAAAAATGAAGGACAATTGTTTAGGCTATGTTCTGCATTATTGCAATGTATGCAATTTGACATCGCATTAATGAATGAATTTGCATTTTTCTTACCGAGTAGCTTACAATCTCGCTGTGCTACCTTTGAGTTTTCCCCGTTTGAACATGTTTCTAAATGCTGACAGTGCCGATTTAACCACTTGTAGCAATCGTCCCATGATGGCAAGTAGTCAAACTCTTGCTATTGATTGTATGCCGATTTTGAATCAGAATCAATTTTAGTTAAGACGATATGGATTAGCATTGAATTCATTATATCGCCTTCTGAGCCCAACGAAAGTAACAAACCTCGCAGCGCTGCAACATTGTCAATGATATTATGTAGACTTGCTGCGTCAGATCTTTTCATAACTGGAGTATTGCAAAGCGATATAATGTGATCTTGAAAAATCAATACGTTATTGTCGTATCGTTCCTTGAGCCGTTGTATAGCCTTCGGGTAATTTTCTTCGGTTACCTGAAAGGGTTCGTTTACGCTAAGGGCTGGTCCTGAAAGACAGTTCAAAAGATAATTAAATTTGTCCACCTTTGGCATTGTTGGGTCATCGTGCACCATGTTGCAATTTGAGCGACGGCAATCGATTTTGATGACTAGTATTTCCAAATGCCGTTGCGTTGAATATGCTAGTGTTCAACTCAGAAACGCGGTTTCTGGGGTTGATTAACGAAAGTATTTTAGATTTTGTTGAAATGTACGATCCTTCAACTTCTGCTCTTGATTCGTCTGACGGAGAAAGAGCTTCAATATTGTTCTGCTGAAGAGCAGAAACGTAACACCGTAGAACACTCAAACAGACGAATGAATCCTGAATACAGAGCAGCGGAGCAGCGGAGCAGGAGCGCGACACAACAGAACATTCGAACAGGCGCTTGAATACGGAATATAGAGCTGAAAAGCAAGACCATAACACCGCAGAACATTCAAACAGACGAATGAGAATAGCGGAGCAGGATGGCGACACAACAGAACATTCAAACAGGCGCTTGAATACGAAACATAGAGCTGAAGAGCAGGAACGTAACACCGCAGAACACTCAAACAGACGAATGAATCCTGAATACAGAGCAGCGGAGCAGGAGCGAGACACAGTAGGACATTCAGACAGGCGCTGAATCGGAATAAAGAGCTGAGAGACGTAACACCGCAGAACACTCAATTAGACGGTGGTCTGAATACGAGCGGGGCAGGGCGAGACACGTAGGGACATTCGAACAGGCGCTTGAATCCGGAATAAAGAGCTGAAGAGCAGGAACGTAACACCGCAGAACACTCAATTAGACGATTGAATCCTGAATACAGAGCAGCGGAGCAGGAGCGCGACACAACAGAACATTCGAACAGACGATGATCCGAATACAGAGCAGGAGCGCGACACAGTAGGACATTCAAACAGGCGCTTGAATCCGGAATATAGAGCTGAAAAGCAAGAACATAACACCGCAGAACATTCAAACAAACGAACGAATCCTGAATACAGAACAGGGGAGCAGGAGGGCGACACAACAGAACATTCAAATAGGCGCTTGAATCCGGAACATAGAGCTGAAGAGCAGGAACGTAACACCGCAGAACACTCAATTAGACGATTGAATCCTGAATACAGAGCAGCGGAGCAGGGCAGAACACAGAGGACATTCGAACAGGCGCTTGAATCCGGAATAAAGAGCTGAAGAGCAGGAACGTAACATCGCAGAACACTCAAACAGACGAATGAATCCTGAATACAGAGCAGCGGAGCAGGAGCGCGACACAACAGAACATTCGAACAGACGATTGAATCCCGAATACATAACAGGAGCGCGACAGAGTAGGACATTCAAACAGGCGCTTGAATACGAAACATAGAGCTGAAGAGCAGGAACGCACGCAGAACACTCAAACAGACAATGAATCCTGCATAGAGCAGCGACAGCGGAGCAGGCGCGACACAAAGAACATTCGAACAGGCGCTTGAATGCGAATATAGAGCTGAAAAGCAAGACCATAACACCGCAGAACATTCAAACAGACGAATGAGAATAGCGACGGGAATGGCGACACAACAGAACATTCAAACAGGCGCTTGAATACGAAACATAGAGCTGAAGAGCAGGAACGTAACACCGCAGAACACCTAAACAGACGAATGAATCCTGAATACAGAGCAGCGGAGCAGGAGCGAGACACAGTAGAACCATTCGACAGGCGCTGAATCCGGAATATAGAGCTGAAAAGCAAGACCATAACGCAGAACATTCAAACAGACGAGATGAATGCGGAGCAGGATGGCGACACAACAGAACATTCAAACAGGCGCTTGAATCCGGAATATAGAGCTGAAGAGCAAACATAACACCGCAGAACATTCAAACAGACAAGGAATCCAATGCAGAAAGCGGAGCAGGAT